TTCCTGCGGTTGCTTCGACGACTTCGGCGGGTTCTTCGTCTTCCAGTCCTCCGGTGACTTCGTCAGTCGCGGCTACTCGCCCGCCGCCGGTATCTTCATCCGATGTCGTGGCTTCGCTGCCTGTCCCGGCTACGAGCGTTTGTGCCCCAGGCAAAATGAACATTTTCTTGCGTCTTGGGAAGAGTATTGTAGAGTGCCCCGTAAAACTTTGTGGTGTTAAGTATGATACTAAAACACACTAACTGCCCTAAGGATTCACGTCGATTTCATTCTAGGAGTCGAGATATGTTATTTTAAGTTTTTGGGATGTCATGGATGCAAATCGTTTGCTACAGGCTCAAGAACGCACTTTTTGTATACCATGTTATTTTAAGAAAATGTCCGTTTCGATGCGCTCTTCAAAAATGTTCGACTTGCGAACCATGATTTTCTGCGTCTGTGCCACGTAATTCAGCAAAAAGAGCATGTAATGGAGTGAAATGAGAGGGTGTGTCATCTCTAAAGTAAAATCTTTAAAAGAGCATAACTTAAGAACGGCTGGGAATAGGTGGCCGTTCTTTTTACCATCATGTGCGCCTAAAAAAAGTACACTATCGTGACAATCGATATCGGTCGATATGGTATAAATTGATAAAGTTATGCTCGATTATGTACGCGAAAACAGAAAAAGGGCGCTGGTGACAAAAAAAGTACTAACGATTCTGTTATTGTTTTGATATTCTGTCATCCCAGACTCTTGCGCATCTGGTGACCTATTTTTTATTCGCCAGTTCCGAGAAAAGTGTCGTTTCGATGCGTGGTGGGCCCGGGATGACAATTCGAGTTGAGTTGGAAGTTCATGTGAAGTCCTGGAAACAAGAAAAAAAGAAGATCCACGCTTCCCTAACTCAAAAAGTCATTAGAAACCGAGGGTAGCTTGTATGGAGACTTTTGTTCCTCGTGCGCTAAAACGCCGAATTAAATTTTTATCTATACTTAACAGGAAAAAAGTTGCCTCCTTCGCGATATATAGGCAAATAAAGAATGGGTGCTATCATTTCGGGACAAAACAGGTGAAAATTTAGGTCGAAAAAAATGTTTATAGACAAGGCATTTAAATTTAGCCAAAATCTGACTTGACCACGGGAATGCGCGCATAAAAGCACCCCTAGGGCAGTTTTTATACGGAGCAGTCTCATTTGCTTCCTGGATGTGCAGGGCCAAACATGGCCAAAAGTGGTGATTTTGGCCGTCCAAGGTGTCCATTTTCCGCGAAAATGGCGTTTTTTGGCGTCACTAAAAAAATCATTGCGAAGCAACTACTGGAGATATGCTTGTAAAACTTTGGGAGCGGTCGTGCGAACACATGCGCCAAGTTTTCTGCTAAAGTCTGCAGGCCAGATCTGCCGGGCGGCACATAAAACCGGAAAAAACCACCTAAAAAAAGAGCATGCCAAACAAAGTCTCACGTTTCGCTGAATAACTTTTGATCTAGATAAGTTAGACAAAATCTGATTGCGGGAACAGCTCCGCCGTGTGTTTTTACATATGTCTATGTCCCGTAGATAAAAAGTACATGTTGCAAAAAAAGTACATGTTGTACATAAATCTACCTTTGATATTCGGATTCCCCGTGAAAAACTACGCCTAGGCCGCAGGGTTACAAAGACGAGTCATTGCATTTATGCCCTTTTATAGACGCTTTTAGAAATCGGCCAAAACAGTATTTATTAATTTAGACAGTGTTCCGCTGACATGTCGCATGCTGCGATATGTCCACGTGAAAGAGCACCATAAAGCACCCCTAGAACACCCTTCATACCCGTTCTAACGGTTCTCTTTCATCTTCATAATAATCAAATTTAAAGAACACCATACAAAAAACAAGATCTCGTGTGTAGTGGCTCGCCAGGCATACTAAAACCAAGATGTCGTGTGGGCACATCCAGACATCATATATTGCGTTTGCAAACACACGCAATGTCGGTAAACAGCTCAAAACGGGCTAAAAAGTAGACAGCACCCGGACTTCCCCGGTGGTCACCCACCCGAGTACTACCCGAGCTTGAGGCT